TTCCCTTCATAAATTTCTTTGACCGATACCCAATTAATAGTTTATATACGGAAAGCATAACTGCGTGGAATAGATTCCTTATTGCATAGCTAATAGTCTCTGAGCATACGAAGAGCCTTACAACAAATAGGTCTATTTATAAGTTGCTTGTTGAAGATGTTAAATTTGGTTCGGCGTAGTGTACAATTTATGTTGTAATTATAATAGAAATCTGTCATTTAAAATGTTGCGGGCCTTGAAGGCATTATGTTCTTATTACCGATTGTTTAAGTTTAAAGAAAATGTTTTCTGAGATCACTAAAATGTCGGTATTTTCCGCATATATCGAGATTATTTGAATTTTTTGGCATACTTGTTCTATTTAATGGTGCTAAGACTTGCTACTATTCTTGAATTAGTGTTGTTTCTATCTTACAGAGATTTTTCAGAAAAGTATTTTCTTCCTCATTTGTTAGTTGTTTCTGACTTTAATGGCCCATTATTACACTTAACGCAAGCATTTTAGAAATTTGGTGAAAGAAAGGGGGTCACATTGCTGTAATTATGTACTTCGTGTCTTAATGAAAGATATTAAATTTTATATGGTACTTACATGGGAGGTAATACCTACATTTTATGTGTCAGACAATTGTCAGGGATCGTGTTACATAAATGGTTGTCTTCTTAATGTCGAGTCGTCAACCGACGCTCAACAAACGTTTGTGTCATAAAATAAAAATATAAATGATGTTTACGTTCCACACCAATAGTTAGCGCGATTGTCTTCTGGACTAGATAGTCCCAGTACGACCTCCGAATATGTGCCATGCCCTAATACATGCTCTCATCGTTAGTCCTACAAGTTAAATCTGGAGTATTTTAAGAAACAGAAATTATAATTTTTGTGAGATGCATTCTTTAAGCCACGACCACTCTGCTGAAGATCCTAATAACTAATAATTCGCAATCATTTTAGCTAGTGGCAGAAGTACGACGTATCACAAAATTTCCCCTAGCCCCGAGTAGCCCATAGTCAGGGAATGTCCTTATGTTAAAAGGAACTATCTGAGAATGTTTTTTATTATTAACAATAGCAATGAAGTGGTCCTGTACTGATTATCGAAACGTCTTTGAGAAAAATAAGGCAACAAAAACAAGAAATTGTATACGTTTAATTTTGTTTTAAGCTAAAGTATTGTAAAACTTAGCACATTCTTGGTTTGTTGGGTTTATTGAGTCTAAATTTTTCCCTCCACATTCAACCCTGCTAAATATGGAGTAGAAATCTGTCATTAACAAATGCATACTTGTCAGCATATAGGTCTATGATTCCATCACATTTTTACCTTGTTCCATACTCGCTATTACTACTCGGATCCTTTCCATGTTATGCACCGATTTCTCTCATTTCTCATGACCTTCAGGAAATCTGTATTATTGCACTTATGTTTCTATAAGGATCTCTCATCTACTGGAATTTCAACACTGCCTTAAACAGTGTCTGCTGTATCTTCTAGCTCTCTTCACGAAGGCCACAAACCTCTGCGTCGTCTCATTCTCCACAAGTCATATTTCTTCTTACTTCTTAAACTTCGCATGGAGAATCACGACTTGAAAATATAAATGTATACCATTTTCTGTCAGAGTTTTGTTTCTTGGTTCTGTAATCTAAAGTAAGAAACTCGAGTCTTTGAACTTGACTCGACTAAAAAACAAGTGACTGGTATCAACTCTGGTCCTACGTTATTTATTATACAACACAACCTGTGTAGTTGTTTCAACGTCTGGATATATAAAATAAATTTATTCTTCACGTGCTGTCAGTCTATTTTAATGCGTGTCTATGGACGTTCCAATACTTCCCTCATACACGACGAACTGCACACGCTCCATTTTAGAAGCTTGTATTTACTAAACATCAGCCATTTATTATAAATGCACAAAACTGTATGTCAAATTAGAATTCTATATAATTTACTTAATCTAAGAAGCGTGGAAATAAGAGTGGCTATTGGTTGTCTTAAAACGTTCACTCATCTTCTGTCTCTAAGACGATGGAAACAGAAAATCGAGAATTGTCATAAATGAATGTAAAATTTTGTTGACCTTATCCTATAGCCCAATAAATAAATTTGGCTGGAAGTAAATATAAGAAAAATTAAATAATTTATATAAACACGTTACGAAATAAAAATCGGTAATAAAATCGGTGCATTAAATCAATAGACATTGTTTCAACTAGAAATGATATTCAGAGTTAAATTAGGTGAAGAACACATTTTCGAAACACCTGTTGTTATTGAGCTTTTGTCGCCATTGTGCTTTCAAAAATATGATATAAAGAACAATAATTTTGCCATTTGTTTTCCATGGCTTTGAGCAGTAAGCGTTTGAAATTTATCCTAAACTCTGGTATCTATAAACAAATCCACACGTAGTCACAAGTAAGAACACTGACTTCGACATCATCACCACGGTGAGAACGAAAAATTTCACGAAGGACATAAGCTGTGAAGAGATTGGCGGGAAGATCCGGTTCAGGAACGCGTCCACAGGCAGGTCCTTGCATTAGAGACGTTGATCCTTCGGGTTCTTCTATCATGTTGTTGGTTAGAGCAGTTTGATCTTGTGCTCATATTCTAGCATCTAAATGAAGTAAAAGAAAGAAGAGGTAATTTAGAGATGTAGTTCAGTGACTTGGGAGTCTTACACGTCGGTAATAGACATTGTGTAATAGACTTCTTTAAGTTTCTTAAATCAAGTCGGTGTAGTTTCATTCCTGCAGAGTTTATCACATTACCATTTACAGAGTCCTTTACCGAAAGGGGACTGTAAATATAATATTGAATTTACAAATAATCTTTTATCATTTTTTTAAAATTTTAATATGGGAAATGTTTCTACAGAAACACACAATTCTTTATAAAATATTGATGTCCTGGTATTGCATTTTCGTTCTTGATGCTGAAAGTTGTGTACAATTCTGTTAAGAACACAAGAAAAATCAGCATTTTTATCAAATACACAAGTTACAAAATGTAAGCGTAGCATATCAATTTTGGTGAATTTGTCTTTACTGAACTTTGACCTTAGTGAATAGCAGGGGTCTTCCCAACCTAATCATTTCCTATCGCAAAAAGCACGTAAAGTTATGTATTCATGTAAAATATACGTTATATTTGCTTGAGCTTAACAACAATTAAAATTCACCAATATACATTTTCATGAAAATCCGTTTAACCGTTCTCGAGTTTTTATTTACGCACATACTGACGAACGAACGGACGATTTTAATAGCTGCGCCGCAGGGTTGCAAAGGTGTCTAAGATAATTATAATATCGGGTAACTTAAGTATGTTACCATCTTCAGTCTTTTGCAGAGAGTCCTGAGTGTGTTTAAATTTTGTACTCAATTTTAAATTTCAAATGTATTTGGGTTATATTTATGATATTAAAAATAAAATAATAGATCATTCTTAACGAAACGTTCAGTTTCTATGTCGAGTATTTCCTTGAATTAGTCACTGTCGCAATTAGAGTATATATAATCGCAAGAGGAAAATTATTATTATTATTATTATTATTTTACATGTAAGGTTAAATAAAAATTATTTCGAATTTGTAGGTTGTGGGAGCAGATAAGTATTTTATAAAAGATGAAATATTGTGATATTACTGTGAGGAAAAGCGTGACTGTTACGAAAATGACGAGAGGGTAGATGGATGAAGGAGACAAATGTTGCGAGGGAAGAGAGCGTAACGAGAAGCTAATAACTTCTTCAATCAAGATTGAGATGATCCATCATGACGTCTGGACGGGCTGCGGCAGGAGACTCATCAAGGATCGCACGAGCAACTGTCAGTAGAGACAAAGTTTAATTACCTAGGCAACCATATATACTGCATATCTAGCAACGATCATGTCAACAGCCTCACACTGATTTTCCTGATTCTAGCTATTTAATTACAATCTCTTCCAGATGATAATTTAATTACAAGATTTTTTTCTAAAGTGTTTCCTGACAAATTATGTTTTAATCAAATTTAAATCTCGTATTAAACGATTTTTTAAAACATATGACATTGGTACAGTTTTAAATAGAAAATTTATATTATGGGTTGAGATATATGAGTATACTGGTAACTACGTCTTGAACAAATGGCTTCGACTTCTAGCTAGGGGTCTTTGCCATTCCCACCGTGTCAAGGTCGACTCTGGGATCATCCTAGCCTCCTGTCCAATCCCTAAGTCGGTGTCTGTTCCCGCTGGTAACACGCCCACCTAGTAGGCTACCAAAATTAAGAACCCGTAAAACCATAACACCTCTCCTTCATACTTTTTAATGACAGAGTGACAAATTAAAAATATGAATACATTTTCAGTTCTTTTACTGCAATATTGGGCAATGTTTATTAGTGATCAAATACTACAGTTTTTGGGTCATGGTGACCTTAGTAGCGATAAGACTTGATAAGAAGAGAATGACTAGGCTTCTGCTCCCAGCAGGGGCGTTACAAATATGCTTTTATGGTCTATGTTTAGAAATGTTCTGAAGCCCAGTGTACATTCAAATGGGTACGGGGTTTATTCTCTGGAAGTTATGAGATCGGGGAAAACGATTTAAGCCAACATGGGATAGCGGTTAAAGACAGAAGAATGTTTACTTTTCAATTAGATTTTAAGGTTGATGGCTGAGTTGGCTGTGTGATCAATGTGTCTATAGTTTATTATTATGTGTATAAGTCAGAGTTCGTACTGATGTCAACTTTTCATATAAAGTTTAATAGCAGCAAGTGAAAAGGAACTAAGAATTGCATGACTAATTACAGAACGTAATACAATTCTATACTTCCAGACGTCAAATTTACTTTTAAAATATTTGTAAATATTATAAATTATTTATTATAACAGAGAACAATGTTATGCACTCAGTTTATTGCAGCTTCATGGGACCACCATTTTCCCCTTTTTTAAAAGGAAATATTTAAACAATTATCTCGCCTTTCTGTTTCTTTTTCAGATGGCGTCTTCAAGTTTAGAATGTTGTATAATAAACCCACGATACTACTGAGAAAGTTACAGCCTGTGAGTCCCTTTATTTTTAAAAGCTTTTAAGGTTGTTGATTGAGTTCTCTCAGTCTTAATTATAACCCGTCGTGACATTTTGTTTCATCAGTCAACGCACACGACTCCACCTACCGAGCAGCTTGTCATCTAAGAAGCAGACGGAGTAAAGGGAAAACGGTTACAAATGCATCACCAGTTAGTTTTTTCTTCGGAATGAATTCTGGTTTCAATATATCGGCGTCTTGTTAATTCAAGTTTAAACATCACAAAATATAATATAACCAATATGAAGGTAAAGTTGTACCTTGTACTTAAACACCAGGCCATGAAGATATATTCTTAACGCTGGCGTTACATGGATGGTGAGATTTCACTTATATTTAAATTCACGTTGCTTTGGTGACGAAATGCATAAACATTATGCATTTTATTTGTTTTTCCAGAAAACTATATGAACGAGCAGTTAAATGTTAAATATTTACTATAAAGAAAAACACACTCTTTAAGTACGTAATTGGTGCAAGTAAGTAGGCTCGTCTAGAAGTAAACTGAGACTAGGAAGGCCTATAAGCTCAGTTCATGTCTCGGTACTAGAATGCAGGAGACAGTCATTGTAATATTAATAGAAAATTAATCGATTGAAAATGAGACGGAGTTAAAATAATGATGGTAGCAAATGAAAATTAAATTCACAAAAACTTAATGAATTATTAAGTTCGTGGAATTCTTGCTACTGCTCATTTCGAAACCATTTTGATCACATGTCACATAAAAGAAACCCAAGATTAAAATATTAATAATATGCATAACTGAAAAAAATACCTGTTGTTTATATGGGTACACATAGTCTCTCTCACATGGAAGGAAAGAACACATAGGCTACAGAATATGGATGTTTGGAAACAGGATTTTGGGGGAGAATATTAGGTCCTAAGAGAATCACAGCAGGAGCATACTTAAGAGCTTCATAATTGGTGTTTTTTTTCAAATTAAGCAGTTGACAACACTCACCTGGGAAATGATAAATGTATACAAAAATTTAGATGGAAAACGTGAATGGAAAAGGCTGCTTAGGAGACCTAAAATTATTTGATAGGGTAGTATAAAAATTAATGTAAAGAAATATGTTGACTAAATTCAACAAGCTCATGATAGGCTCTCGTGACGATATCTAGTGACGGGGGTGATGAAATGTCGGGTTATATAAAAGACGAGGAAAGTATCACCTAGCTAGCTGATATACTGCCAGTTCTCAAGGATTCCGCCCGCTTCATCGGTTTAGTCTATTAAGAGCTCTAAGGAGTTCTACACTGAAATTTGCTAAAGACATAAATCAACTGCAGTTCTTTGGATTGTCTCTCACCTTCTCTGCTGTTCAGTTCTACTCCGTCTCTATTCTTCATTATCACCATGACAGTAGGTGCCAGAGACTAATGTAGCTTTAACACGGACAGTTTATTTCGAAGATTAATTAAAATGTTATATCATCTGTTGTGAAGACGTAGTGTTACAAATGAAACGGAAGTCTCCTTAGTAGCAGTGGCACTGAAATAATTTGGAAGAAGGTGGCCACTCACCCCTTTTAGGTTTTATCACAACATTATCCCGGAGAGATGAAGGAAAACTCCAAAAAATATCACAGTAATCGGTCTCTGGAGAAGTAATAAGGACTAGTTCAAACACCGTAACTGATACAGCCCTCAGACTATTGTAACAACAGCGGGTTACGATTGATTGATAATAATAAATAATGTTACCTTACGAATTAAATAACTGTGGAACTAAACTGAATAATACAGACATGCGGATAGAACTGGCTTAACTTGTGTTATATGACTGAATATCGAAAAAGTAGTTGAAACATAAGATTCGCATGCCTATAACTTACCTGCGGCTCGTGAATTGTGAGAACGGTGGCTTACACTGATTTTAGATAGTTCTTTTCCTGAGTAATGAAACGTAGCAATAAGAATTAACAATTAGGACAAATACCAACTGAGAGCACCTGAAATGATTTAAAATCCTTGTTGTCTATGATTTCAGATGTAAACTCCAGCTTTAAAAATTAGTTAAGTGCAGAATAAACTTTGAAATTGTAATTTTACTATACATTTTATTTTTAGGCAGGAGTTACAAATGAAATTTGCCAATTAAATAATCTATTTAAGTAAGCCTTCAAAATACATGCGAATCTACCCAAAAATAATATAAGAATTACAGCAGATACAATCAGGCTAAATTGAATCAGTTAATTACGTTGAAGGTTCACGTAAAAAAATCCTAAGCTAGATGTGATAAGCGAACAAACCATAGAAAAAGATAAACAATCTTAAAGCACTGTATTTTCCATTCGACTTCATTAACAAATCAGTATGCAGCAGTAATGTCTACACTATCCTGACTAGGACTGTACATGCAGATTGCCCTGTAACTATAGACGAGTTCTGCCATATGCTGAAATCTCTGACGAACAAGACGTGTCATAGTTAAACAAATGCTATGCATAATGTTTTATGTTGTTTCGCGCTGCATGATGTGGTCTTGCTTGTATCCCTTCCCTTGCTTCGTTGTTTCTATCGCCAAGTCATGTATTATGTAGATGTAAAAACACACTGAACCCACAGGGTTCCTCTGAAGCAGCATCAGTTGTGGCCGTAACACGAAACGGGGAGGAAGGAAACAGCTGCAAAACACGGAAAAGAAATCAATGCAAATTATCGTACTGAGATCCTTTTCGGATAGAAAACAGAACGAATAAAAATCACATCTAATTTCTACCGCGTACTGGAGAAAATAACATTATTAATAAGGCGTAATTAATTAAGATTAACTGGCTTCATAGAAATGAGTTCTTCTTGAGGAGCTGACGTAGTTAAGAAATTTCCATCTTTAAAGGAACCAGAAGGCTAAGGATGTTGTTCCGGGTCGTGACGTAATGAAGACTAGTAGATACAGTCTTTTCGAAGAAACAGTCTCCATTATCCCTACATTTCAGTCGCAAAATGGAGACAATGTTTGTCTCTGAGACGACCTACCTACGAGTCTACATGGCGTAATAAACCCGGAACATCGTTATCCCCACCGCAGTGAGAGACTCAAATCCTGCAACACGAAGATTCATTGCGCGCTGCTTCACTGCATCCTGATCAGATGAATCCGACATCCTGTTTATTTAAGTTCCATTTTAGTATAATCTATCCACCTACTTTAGTTTTCTCAAGTAGGATGCTCTTTACCAATAATATTTTTCATTTACAATTGACTATGCATTGGCAAACTTTCCTTGAGTTCTACATGCCCCGCCCATCTCATCTTCTTTGATCGCTGTAATAAAGAGTGAATATTAAGAAGCTCCCTATTATGCAATACTCTTATCTCCTTGATAAAACCTTTTTCTTACTTTAAAATATTCTGTTCAAACATCCTCAAACTTTATCCAATTCTCTAGGCAATGCCCAGAACTCCGATTGGTGTTCTCAAGGTGTTGAATCAAGATACGCTTTTCATTGGGACCCCACCGTAACTTCATAGTTTGTTGTGTTAGGACTTATGTCTCAAGGAATGAGCGTTGTCCACCCTAGACGAAATTTTAAGTTCTCACAGCGGAGAATTCAAAGATGACAGCATTTAGGGTTGTTCCACCCTGCAGTCCGGCATAAGTTATCCGAAATTTGAGAGGTGCTTACTGCCTCCATCATCACTCACGGATAACCATCCCGGAAGACAGTCATCTTCATTGACCATCATGGCCTTTGATTCTTTCGAAGTTGAACAGCTTTACGTTCCTTTTCTTATCTTATAATTCATGACCGAATGTGTATAAATCGCATGCATTAGTCGGCCACAGAACGAGCTGTGCTAGAGTGTTGACATAGACCACGCATTCCTAGTATAGCCTGCCACTGCAATGTCTTGAATCTCGTCTGGAAAGAGAGTATTGTTGGAGAAAACGTGAGATGAGGATAATAGGTCTTGATTAATTATTAACTTTGCTGCCCGGGAGAAGTAATTCCCATCCTCTACCAGTTTACACCCCCTTCCCCCCCACAGCGAAGCTTGTTCCTTCGTATGCAGCTATTTCACTGCGTGAAACCAAAAGCTATCATAGAATAAAGTGTAATGCAGGGTTACTCAGCGGTATAAAATATCAGCAGGGTATACAGGCTACCACAAAACTCATCCAATTTCGTGATTTATGGATTCTGTAGAACGTCTGTGTCAGTGGTTGGTTCTAACAATTCCATGTTTGACACTGTCAATTGTCTGAGGTTGTCTAGTAATTAGAGTTCTATTTTATTCTTCACAAGGTCGTTCATTTGATCCTAAACATTGCTACTAATAAAATAAAAACGACAATTTTAATAAATATAACGAAGAGGGGTGTAGTGCCAACTTCCTAAACGCCTTGTAGACCAAATAAAGCTAAGACAGTTGTCAAAGTGCAACACAATTTTCTAATAAACGTATAACAACCACACTGACTATCTGAATCAAAACGAGACAAGAGTTAGAAAGAGCTGTATGAGCAGGATGCTTTGTTTAAATGCTTTACAAAGCTTGTTGAAAAACTAAATTTTTAAATAAAATGTGGAAAAATTAAGAATAATCTAATGTAAATGATAAATACAGAGTGGAATAAAAGGGTGGCTATTGAATGAAAATGAGAAAAGGGTGTGAAAGGAATAGGTAGTGACTAATTTATGACACTGTAACGGTATTTATTGGAGAGACTGAGAAAAACTACGAAAAATCTCAGTCAACTAGATGGTCTCTTAGCTGATACTTGTAAATAAAACAGTAAAAATTTAGCACGGCGTTTAAAGGTACCACGAAAAGAAAACATAATTCGTATTAGTGGGAAAAAATTGGTAAAAATAATGATTATATCTCTTCTATCTCAAGATAGAAAATTTCGTCATACTTTATAAAGAGATAACACATTGTGAGAGTGATGGTTTCGTGTTTTAACGTATGTACCATAATTTGTCGTGACAAAGCCCATCAACTGTTAAACCTCCGGTCTGGCTATCAGTGCACCGCCGCGCCACCAAAATTGGAGAAATATAAAAGAACTGTTTTATTACAAAACAATAGAAGCATAATACTAGCTTTCTAATATTATAAAGTACCTTGCTGTTTGTGGGGTGGGGTAAGACTATGTCTCAGTAAAGTTGTTGCCCCTAACGTGTCCATTGTCCCTCCCGCAAATATAAGGTCTATCGGAGTGAGTATGGAGAAGCGGTGAAATTATAGTGACAGGAAAACAGGACCCTGAGAAAAACCTATCCGATTGCCACTTTGCCCACAGTAAATTCCACATGGACTGACCTAGAAGGGAACCTGGACTGCCGCAGTGAGAAACAGATTATGGTATTGTGGTGCAATTGTTGGGGAGATTTAATAATATTGCTTTTCCCCACTACCTGACTTCTGAACCTACCAGAATTCGCCAATGATGACCTGGTAATTTATGAAGGTACTAGATAAAAGTCAATAACTCTATTTTACGCTCTATTCCTATTTTCACCCTGAGAAACTGAACAAAATAAAAATGGATGTTAAAAATCCATTACAGTCGAAATTTAAGACTCCTTTCTTCTACGATTACATTAGAAAAAATCCGTAGCGTTAAATAATAACCTGTTTGTAAGACAACGTAATTGGTAGAAAATGTTTGGTAATCAATATTGCAAAGCTCATCATGCTTACTGCAAGGAATTTAATGTAGAATTTAAGGCATTCTTTTAAAGAGTAAAGAAAAAAGTGATAACTTTTTTTAAGTTAAAAGAAAACTTAAATTTGTAATAAGAATATTTTTAATAAATTAATAAATTATGTATAAGCGCCTTATATCAATTTAACTTATTTAATAAAAACTTTGCAGTCCCGATGTTAGTGTATGAGTGTGAAATTTAGGCTTTAGGTAGAACTTAGTGGAAGAGGCAGAAAGAGAAGAAATAAAATTCTTACCAAATGTTTCTGGGCATTGAATTTTAGAACATATTTCCAATCTAACTAGAGAATTTTAACCCGGAATAAAAAATCCTAGAAGAAAATTTCGTACAAATCTTCTGAATATAGACCTTATAGAATCCTTCAGAGTATCTTTATATGCCAGACGGTCTGTCGTAGAGATAAAGCACGTTTTATACGAAGATTTTTCTGATTCTGATCACCCCAGTGAGCTGCCTTATCGCTGCAAATGGTTATAAAGAAGTAATAGAATTATAAGAGTCTAAAGCACTTTCATAATGAAATTGTGCAAATTGTTTTCATATTTTCAATTGTTTATTTAGTAGACAAATCTCTTTTACAAGTTCTTAGTAAAATAAAATGTCAGTGTGAAACAAAACAGTCGAAATACAATTATTTTCTTAAGTCTTTATACAAATCACTTTAATATACATAAATAATCCAGAGATACAAATACCTATTAGAGAACAATTAGTGCCTATAAGACGTTCTTTACGTCAAATATTGACGCAAATGAAGACAGACAAATAGGTGAGTGCCCCTTGGACCTTATATGTTAGTTGAGTAGCCCCTGTAAGCAGGCGAGACTGGAGGGTAAAGACAATAGACGAAGGAAGGCAGATATTAACTACAGTTGTGTGTGCTACTTGCTGGGATATGAATACTGGATGGAGAGGGGGTAAAAGCAGAAGGGTGTCAGCATCACGTTAATTTCAATTTATCAGTTGCTTGTTGTTTCAAAGCGACAACCAACCCACAGCTACACTTCTTGTATAATTATTTTGGGTTACTGATGCCTTTGTAAGCTATATAGGATTTTGCTATTGTAACGCTTTCAAGAGGATCAACTGTTTAAAAAATAACGGATCGTCAGAGTATACTCACTTCGTATTTGAAATAGACTGCTTACGCAGGCTAAGTTTCGTTCTGTATTGGTTCCACATTGAAAGTTAGGCCTTTATGATTGATTGCCAAATCGATTCATTTCCAAATAGCTGAAAAATTAAACCATTGTCTAATTTGTTATTAAACGTTAGAAAATTAAATTTAGCTTGAAATACTAAAAGAACAACAATTTTAACCTTTCTTTAAATGGAAGTTATGGAATATAGTTTATCGCCCTTTAATATATTTCATTAATTTTCTCCGCTTTTAATTAATGTTTTAACCACAAGTTTTCACATCTTATGACGTAAGTGACTTCTCCATAAATCTTCTCGGTGCGTTGCTTCAGAACGGGGACAGGTTTGCTTTAATTTACTTAGCTATTATTAGGAAAAACTTAAATATCTGTTACTCAGCAGAACAAGGACTGAAGAACAGCACACATTTAATTCCCAACTTTCCTCAATAAAGAGACTTTAAAAATTGGCATAATTCTGAATGTGGTAAACTGTGAATACCAAACTTATACGATTTCTTGCTAAGTGTATTAATATAATCATCATCAGTCTTCCACGTCCTAGATCCAGTGGCCAAATCACGATAACATACAAATAATACAAAATTTCTTACTTTGAGACTTGAAAGCATTTAGTCCTTCCAAGAAGTTGCTAGCCGGAGAGAAGCAAGACCAGATTAATTTACGAGTACATTATGATCTAGTTTGAATATATGGCCATTCTGTGCCCACAGCTGTTCCATTGTCATGCATTTAAGTAGTGTTTGTTACACAAAACGATGTATTTGGTGATCATAGGTCTCATCACTGTTTGTCGCCGCGGAGATAAATAAAATCCATATTTGATGTCACATTGTTTCGTTTTTAGAAACTGAATCTAGTGATAAACAAGAACAACTCGGTGTTTGTTTCTTGAGAGGCATTGACTATCATGTCATTTACAATATTAAGTGCTCCGTTTAGGAAACCTCATTCGAAGAGTGGATACATTTTCAAGTGAAGTAACAAGTATGTATAAAACCCTGCTAAAAAGAGGGACAAATTATGAAAGAAGTTTTTTTTACTTATGTGGTTATATATATACTTTTTTAAAAATACGTAATATGGGAATGCAATACTTCTTAGCATCGAATTATAGGCTACATCCAACTGTCTTTTAATTTACGAGGAGTTGATTTTGAAGACAATTACAATAATGATATGCTTGTGAGTGAGTATGCAAATTATGGATGCCAGAGGCCGACATGATTCGATCTTCCTTTACCAAGCAACTGCAAACGTTGCAATAACGTTTTATGTTGGATATAAAATAGACTTTATCACATATTTCAGCTGCTGTCTATTATGCATACTTACATGTATTCGATCAGGCAGGAAGCCATATTTTCTTGTTAAAGTCTTTCTCATGTCTGGTGCCTTCATTTTTTTATTTCTACCATTCCTTAATATTTGTCTTCATATATAATTTTCATTATATTTTCTGCAGTTTAAAGACTACTAGCAGTGTGATTTAACATGTGATAAATTATTAATAGACTGATTAAGGGTAGTCACAATCTTGATATGTTTTATTTACTAGCACCTCAATTTATGAAGCAAAATTAAAGTTTAGAAGGTGAACAAGTAAGTTGGGTGCTTTCTACTGCACAATACCCTAGAATTATGTACTGGGTAAAAGGAGTAAAATTCCGTCAGAATTGAACGTCACGGACCACCTGTTAGGCAAAGCTCCTCAGTCTCGAGGAATGTGGACCGGATACCGGACGGACTTTCGTCACTGATTTTAGTTTGTTCTATTCAGGATTCCTCCATTTAGAAAAATTACTAAATTTAAGTATCTTTTGTCTGAAATGTGTGTTTGCACTAAGATTTACTACTGCCGTCTTGTTTGAAGGCAACACAAATATATCTTATCATTACCGTTGCTTCTGCCTACGACAATCTTTATCCTGGTCTTTGAATCCGTACCATTTGTAATTAGTCTTCAAATCAAGTGATTTTACTTGAGTACAAACCCAATGGATATAGAGACAAAGGTTAGAATAATCTGCCACTGGACCTTATCCTGACCCTGACGATATCAACCCATATTTTCAACATCGTATTTCGTTATACAGATTCCTCTCATCTGCGCTTAAGTTTGCCAAGTGGCCTCTTTAGTTCAGATATCCGATTAAAATGTTATATCCGTTTCTCGTCTTACATCTTGCTTTGTTTAATTGCCGTGCATCTCACCCCTTGCTTTGATTTACTATTGATATTGACTCGATATATTAACATTTTTTATTCAACTCACTGAACTTCAGAATAAAGAAGTGTAAACAAAGAAACAATAGATTCTTATTTCTCAGGAGGTATTGTTATCTCAGCCTGTAGTTCAGTAATTACTTTAATATGCAGAGATCCACAAATGAAGTTCAGCAACTTAGGATATAAGTTTATTTTCTATCAGGCTTTCAGTGGCTATCAGGGAGATGCAGTGTTAATCGTAACTTCTAGCGAATTCCTTTCGAAGAACAAATAAATATATATTAATATTAAATATTAGACATTTTTTTTCATGTCAATTCAAATTGTGTACGATCGGCGTGTTTACTTGTAGGATAAAAGACACCTTAGATAAAAATCTGACAATAGATCACCTAGACAGTAACTCTGTACAAACAAACAGAAGAGATGTCTCAGTACTGAAATAAAACAGTTTGGACAAATAGGTTCCCATAGTAGCCCATCCATAATATTTTGTAAATGTACATAGGTGTGTCTTATGATGGATCACTTAGATAAATAGATACGTATGCATGCTTTGTATATATATATATATATATAT